AGTTGTAGGCAAAATTTCATCTGGTACTTAGGTTAGGCACAGTACACTGCTTGTGCTAGGTACACATTATATAGGAAAATTATATACAGAGTAATGCTTACAGAATAAATCATGTAGGACAATCAAATGTTATGCAGTTTACCTGACCTTTGAGTTTCTGGACCAAAGCTTGACTTCGAAAATCAGTTCTGATTCATTTCTGATTCACCATAACGTTACTGAACACAAACTTTGCCCTCCTAGCCTCTGGGTACTGTCTTCTCAGCAGTAACAATATTCTGGTTCTCTCTATATGTGGTTATGTACATTTGTAATATTCTCTTGATGTTGCTTTACTCTGTATTTCATCACTGGTTTATCATGGGCTCTGCCATCTCCTTTAAGCTGTCTGCAGACTGGCATCAAAGGTATACACTGCACAGCCAGTTAGGAACTCATCCTCCCATGTCAGGAAAACATCTATACTCGTCTGAGAGATACTCTATAGACCTGGATGCAGCTAAGCAGGGACACAGCAAATGTTGCAGTGGGTACAGTGTATGTTGGTGAGGGACACTGTTTCCAGGATTGTGATCTGTGATACATCTGAAATGATGGAGCTGTAATTCTAATCATTTCAGGAGGTACTGATTCACAGACTGTTTGAACTGTACTGTTCTCGATGTATTATTACCAGAACTCCTAAATTGAATTATAGCCTCACAGCTTGTTGTTCCCTACTGTTTGTTCTTTATGCAGACTGTTTATGTGTCATCATGATCTAGAGCTATTTTTGGCACAGCACTAATCTTTTTGTAATGTGACCTTGCTCTGTTAATATTTCCTTTCTGAGAGTTTATGAAGGGCTTGTTGGATTTGTGCTCTGAAGGTCCGACTGCAGCTCACTGAACATGCTGTCTGCTTGTCCATGTGTGAGGGTTATGAGTGGATTTCTGGTGGCCTGCTGGGCTTCAGTAATTTTCGCTCATGGCAGAGAGGGTGAAAATCTCCAGGCAGTGTAATCGGTTTGACAGCCACTTCCACAGTGTCCGTGGTATCACAAAGGAAAGTGCTGTCAAAACAGCAATGCCATGAGGGATATTGATGACAAAGTTCAGATGAATGGGGCTTTGAATACGTGTGGTGTGATGACTGGTGCATTTGCATTTGTAATGCCTTTCTATGGACAGTGGTGGAGTGGGGGATGCTCCTTTGGAAACATATCAACAGTAAAGCAGTATTAATGTTTTGGTGGGGTGAGTAATCTTTCTCAAACTTTCCACCACGCTGTGCCAAAGTAGGCTGTTTCTCAGCTTGCTGATGCTTTTTGTATTGAATTCAATTTTCTGCTTTGTGCTTTGTCATTCCCATTTCAAGTTTAGAATTATTCGTTGTGCACTTGGAGAAAGTCCACCTCAATTAATGAGGGTTGTTCCAATTTAGATAACAGAGGATTTTCTGCTGGAATTTGACATGCTCTATTTTAATATTTGTTAATGAACACTTGTAATCGTGTTAATTATGAATGTGTTATCATGGAACACTTTGATATTACACTGTCAGATAGCAAAAGAAATACCAAGATGGGTATAATCATTAAGTTTCTGTAGCTGTAATGGTCCTAGAATATAAGCAAGGCCAGGTTCGAAGGGAGAAGTACCTCCTTGTCTGAAACTGATCAGTTGTAGCTGGACAAAGTCTAGGAAAAAGTCCTCTAACAGCCCTGGGAAGATCCATGTCTTACAAACTACACAAATGCCCTCAAGGCAGATACATAAATGCTGCTGGTTGACTTAAACTGTGGATAGAACACTGCAGGTTGGAAAGGGAATAAATGCTCCTAATCCTCAAGAGACCTTGCAGTGCCACACTCCTTTGAAATGGCTGTCCTCTGTGTCTGAAATGCACTTAATGGGATTTGTGGATTGAAACACCTAAAATACAGGTGGATTAAAACTAAAGTCTGCCATTTTTAAGTTGCCCTCTGTATTGTAAAACAAAACGGGGGAAAAGTGCTGCTAGACTCCAAGGTCTAATCAGGCCTCAGTGTATATGAAGCATTCTTTTAGTTACATTATTTGAAAAAGTATTGGCATCTTCATACCAATAGTTACTTTAAAAGTAGAAAATTTCTGGCTTTTGTCTGTTGCTAAATAGAATTAAAAATTCCAAAGAGCTTTGCAGGCAGGGTGTGTGTGTGTACGCATATGTTTGTTTATGCTGCCAAAATCGGTATGGTAATTTCTGTATAGAAAGATTAAGTCCTAATCAGTGTTCCAGTACAGTTTGGGGGGGGGGGGGCGATAAAGGAAACAAAACACATTTTCCAAAATCTTATCTTGCAATTCCTCCATCTTGTGGCAGTCTGCAGTATTGCCCTCGCATTTGGCCCGCAAAAGCAAGTATTCTACTTCACACTGAGGGACTAGGGTAAAATCACTCTACACAAAGCATGATCCTGGCAGTACAAAGGAGGGAAGATGATATTCCTTAACCCACTCACTGGGACCCCAGTGTGCTAACTTTTAATGTTCTCAGTAATTTATCTCAATCCACCTGTTTGAATCTTTTGTGTTTTGGAAAGGCCTCTCTGTTTTATGCAAATAGTCTCTGGCAAGATATTGTTCAGTTCTTCAGCAAGACATGAAGATAATAAAATAATAATAATAAAATCTTCAGAAAGACCATCAGTGCCCAGCAATCAGAGTTAATTCTCTGCAGATCGATGTCTGTTCTCGCTTTCCTGTTGCAACGTCCTAAGGCTGCCAGTTCACATCTGCTTTCTCTAGCTGCTGCTGTCCTTCAGAATCTGGCTAGCTAAAGTCTTTCCCTCTGTATTTGTTTTTTGCTTTCCTGAAGCACTGACAACTTAGGAAACTGAAGATCTCTCTATAAAGTTTGCTTCTTGGATAAGGCTGAATAGTGGCAACTGCCAGGTCATGCATGCCATGATTGTGTTCTGAAATATAGCTCCAATGGCAACAAAGACATGCAAGCAACTACCTAAGAAATTACTGCGGTTTGGGTTTTAAACCTTTGGGTGGTGAAAAGAGTTTTGTTAGCAAGGATGTCAATCCACTTACTTTGCATCTGGATTGGGGGTTAGGTGGAAGTCAAGGTTAGAGCCCAACACTGAGCTAGGATTTGAAATCTCATCACATAGTACAACTATATCTACTTCATGTGTAGTACTGACTATGAAACATCCTTACATATGTTGTACATGCATCCAAGAAGCAAGGTGGGGTAAACACTGTTTACCCCATTCCTGTTTTTAATTCAAGCCAGTCTACAAGTAGAGGGCTGCAATCAGGGAATTAGAATTTGAGCCTTCCTTAAAAATGTGGATTTGCACTAGTGCTTCCCTTATAGAGCTTTTTGGAATTTTGGCTGGGAATTATTCATGATTGAAACAAAAATGTTCTCTGGGAATTTATTTTGAGGAGGGTGGTGGTGGTTAACATTTAAATATATACAGTGCTTTATTGTTTCTCTTCTTCTATTTTGACTTAGATTGCTCATACCATACCATACCACATTAATCTAAGGTTGTTCCCATCATTCTTGTTAAGGTTTAACTTAGTAAAAGCCATTATTGTTTTAACAGAGATCATTCCAAAATAATGATTAACATACCTCTAGGAAAGCCTAAGTGCGTCAAATACCAGTCGTTCCCTTTGAGGGACTGTGAGTTTAAAAAATGTTCCTTTAAAAATGTTTTAAATGGAAAAGAAACCCACAGTTACGTGCAGTGTAGAAATATCTTTGCATTTTCTGTTTCTTATGAATGAAATTAGCATAATTTAGTATCCATGATCTTGATTTTTTTCAGAGGTCAGAGGGGAAGGTATCAGCTTGCAGTAGAACTCTTTATCTAAACAAGGGAAAAAGCATGTAGAACATTCCAGTAAGGGTTTGAATAAATGCCTGAATGGCTAAACCCAGACATGGAGTCAGAAGTAACTCAGGCATTTTTTTTCATGATAACTTGTTGTTTTTATCTATTTCTGTTTATTTCTTTTCACAGAAGTACTCCTAAGTTACCACAGTGTAATTGACACACCACAGAAACATGCAAGAAAGTTTTATTGCATATTCTGAACTTGTGATTTTGATCTTTCTCCCAATCATCTTACTTTTAGTATGCATGATAAACAGCCTAGGCTCCTACTAGATGTGTCCAAAGAAAACTAAAATTTCTGCAATGTAATTATGAGAAAGCATTTGTCATACCAGGTCTTTGACTGTCAGCCCTATAATGTTACCTGTTGTGTTAGCATTCAGGCATTTTCTATTTGATGACTTGCGATGCCTTAGCTCACTCAGTACAGGATAGAGCTAAAACTCATTTCCCATAAATTTATGGTTGTGTGTGTAAAGTATATCCAGGTTTTGGTGTAATGGTACAGCTAAACAGCACACTAGTCATTCTGTGGGAGCCCATAGGAAAAAGAAGCATCTCAGGGAAAGAACTGCAGGGAATTTTCAACTAAACTCCTGTGGTATACATGGTATCCCTTAGAAGTTGCTTTCTTACTACTGATACCAGAGCAGATGGTGATACAGTGGAATCGCGACATGCTGGGCATGTTTTGGGAAGTGGGCCCATCTTTGGTAGGTCAGTAATCCCCACTGTATAAATGGAATGCCTGGTTGCTGGCTCAGGTGAAAATGAAAAGTGTCAGTTAAGATGGATTTTGCATGCCTGATGTGAGATGTCTGTCAGGATCCTCTCAGTGACTATGCCTGCAAATAATGCCTTATTTGTAATTATCCATGGCAATAAATCAGCAAAAGTGACAGACTTGTTTGTAAGTATCCCATCTTCTTTATAGGACAACACCCCGCCCCCCAGTAATCAAAACAAAACAGACTACAGATGTGATGATCTATACATGCATATAATACCAAAGAGTAAAATCTGGGGTGACAGTTTAAAAGTTATGTGGCAGTTTTTCACTTGTCAGTCTCACAGTATTATCCTGATTCACAGTAACAACTTCTTTATTCCAACCCAACAGCAACACAGATGTGCACACGGTGGCATCACTGCTTAAGCTGTACTTAAGGGAACTCCCAGAACCTGTCATACCATATGCAAAATACGAAGATTTTCTTTCCTGTGCCAAAATGCTCAGCAAGGATGAGGAAATGGTGAGTTGGCAACTTGAGTAAAGTAAAATAAAAGACTGACATGTTATAACCTGTTCTGATTTTGGGGAGGAAAGAACCTAGTGATTGCCAGTCTTAATTTAAGATGTGCATCTATTAATTGAGGCTGGTTTTATATGAAAATTGTTGCCACCTAGGTAATTTGGAAGTCTAAATAAAGGCCCATAGCATAAACTTGGCTGTATTTATTGCACGTTGCTGAATTCAGTTAAAGTAGACATTATTGTGGTCAATAGCTTCCATTTTGTATGGAAGAGACTTCTATTTTTATGCATTATAATTCTGAACTTCCAAACTGTAAAAGGAAGGGACTTGGTAGATGCTGTTCAACTTGTGCCATTAAATCAGGGGTCATTTTCTTCTAAGCATCAGGATTTTACTTTTAGCCAACTTTTACTGACTTTTAATTGAAGGCCAACGGACTCTATTCATTGCTTGTAGTTGAATCAGAAGGCCTCAAAAAGATGGACGTGGGCCACTGGAACTGGGCCACCTTCCAGGCTCCTCTAAACCAACAAAATGCAAATAATCAAAATAAGAGATCTGAGGGATAATATGTGCCCTGCAGTTGTATGGGCCTACAACTTATTAGTCTGAGGACATAAAAAACTTAAGTGCTTGTTTTTACATTGTTCTGTGTGCTTATGGATAATGAGGTCAAACCTGCTATTTTCTTTTCAAAGTCAATACAAATAGGCTTACTCTGTTGATTTCAGTGTACTCCCCTTAGTTTCCAAGTTGTTTATTCCTTTTTGACATTTTAAATCTGACTGGAACTGGAACCTCTCCTACCTCATCTTCTAATTAATTGAGTAGGAGCCCCTCTTTTCTAACTGAGACCATCTCCTTTCTGAGCCTTCAGCTGATGACTACCAACAGCAGAGGTGGCAGTTGTTCCCATCTGATGGAATGGAGGGTAGGGAAAGATCTGTGGCAAAGTGGCTTCTATGGTTATAATCTCTTTCACCCACCAAAATCAGACTGGTTTGGTTTTATTTTTGCTGTTCTTTACAGCTTGCTACAAGAAGCAAATTTTTGTCAGCTGCTTGCAAAAGGCGAGAGTGGGCTGTTCAGCTGGTTTAATTTGAGCTTCTCTTTGCACAAGTTATGGCAGGGGATCCTCATAGCTAAAGTTGCATCTATTTGCTTGTGCGTGTTGTGAATGTCTCTGATGCTTGATAGCTCCAATACAAAGGCACCTGATAGCTCTTCAGTTAGGCATCATGCAGTTTATGTTTGCAGAGATACTAATTTTCAGATTAAATATGTAGTAATTTTATATCAACTTCATCCAGGATGTATTTATGTAGTTCCTCAGCAATTAGGCCACAAACACTTTATTAAATTCATTTTGAAAGCATGTTTAAGTTACAGTGGCCTTTTAGTTCTGGAGTTGGTACTGGCAGTTTGTGGAATATCATTACTGTAGTTGGTGAGCCACTTCAGTTCTCTTTATGGTGGTTTAGCAGTGTTACTGTAAGGCTGTCTGACTAGATTTTCAGTTGACCTTTCTCCGTGCAGAAGTTAAAAGTGCACTCACAGAAAGAGCTATTCATCTTGGGGTTTTTCTTAGCACAGAGAGAGCAAACTTGTGCAACGTCATGATCCACATATCTTGATTTGCATTTTTTTTTTGTATCATATTGTAATCAAAACTCTGCTGATGGTGGAAAAGTACCAAAAAAAAACCAACCCCATACTGAAAAAGAGTCTAAAGGCACTGGTTGATAAGTTCAGCCAGGGTCTGTTTCCACAGGGTACAGAAATTAGTGTGTGGTATTCTGCTTGTCCCATTCCCAGGTGGGCGCACACTGAAATAACTGTTTACTGGTCTGAATCTAGTATGGGACAGAACTGGGTAATATAACCAAATAGGTTCTCATATGAAAACACCAATTAGTTCAAAAAATAATAGTTCCTGGGAGCCTCAGCCTTGCTATCATCAGGGCGAATGGAGCTGCTTTTCAAAAAAAGAAGAGTGAAGAAGGAGGGAAAGACAGGATGAAACCAAGTTATTTATTTACTTGTTTATTTTTATCCAGAGTCAATCCTTTTTTAGCCAAATACAGCTTTCCCTATCCAAAATGGATTCTACAAGCTATTTCTGATGGTAATGTGTATATAGCATTTAATGTTGCAGTCTCAGTGGTGTGTTTATTACCTTGTAATTGGAATTACTGACTTTTTTTTAGTCTCTGGTAAAATACTAAGAAACTGTGCCTCCCCACTTTGGTTTTTTTTTTCCCTTAAACCACTTAAAGGGCCTGATAGAACTGGTGAAACAAGTGAAGAGCCTGCCAGCTGTCAATTATAATCTGCTGAAATATATCTGTAGGTAAGTGCTCTTGCAAGAATATCACTATGGTATTTATAACTCTGAGCTGACAGGCAAACCTGGCTGTGTATGTGCCCTGAAGGGAAGGCATTACTCAGAGTCGGAGGATTAGTAAACTTCAGTCAATGCACTAAAATTACGGGTTTACTGCATGACTAATTACTAATTTGCCCTATCAAGGTGCACGAGTTATGACTTCCCTCTTGTCAGGAGTGCAGGCTGCACTCCACAAGAGACGCAAGAAGGTAGAAATTTATATATTCTGTCTTCTTTATAGGATCCCTGATTCCATTTCTAACTGCAGTTACTTGCCCTGTCTGTACACTCCTGAAGCATGGTATCCTTGAAAACTGTGTGTATCTTGTAGTATATAGAGTAGTTTCATGGATATATCTAAGATTGTAAAAATCATGTCTTGCACAGTTGCAATTTATGAACTTAGAGGAAGTTTTCAGCATTAAACAAAAAAATCAACTTTTTTAAAATTGACAGTTTGCATTTTGGCCATATTCTATGACGCAAGTAGATGATGAGTTACATCGGAGAAAGTTACTGTCTTCAGCAGAGTTGTCTTGTAGTCAGTCCAGATTGAGACTTAGACTTCGTTATCAATAGAATCATAGAATCCTAGAATAGTTAGGGTTGGAAAGGACCTTAAAATCATCAAGTTCCAACCCCCCTGCCATGGGCAGGGACACCTCGCTCTAAACTATATCACCCAAGGCCTCATCCAACCTGGCCTTGAACACTGCCAGGGATGGAGCATGTATCATTTTGAAGAAAATCTGAAGAAGTTGAGGAGTATAGCCTTCAGCTTTCAAGGTGTTCCATGAGGATTTGGAATGGAAGAATTGAACTATGTTAAGAAAGCATCACATACTTTGACTTCTTTTCCTTTTTACACCCTCCTTAAAGGCCTCTTTCTTCCCCACAGATTCCTTGATGAAGTCCAGTCTTACTCAGGCATAAACAAAATGAGTGTGCAAAATCTGGCTACTGTTTTTGGTCCCAACATTCTTCGCCCCAAAGTGGAAGATCCTCTGACTATCATGGAAGGTGAGCTTCCTGTACATAACTTGTAATAGAAGTAAGGAATGTCTTTAGGTTTATTAACAGTGCATAACAGTCCATGTAATATGTGCAGTAATTTCCATCTATCTGTTTTATAGACACAGAATTCTTCAACCTAAATGAACTTCTGTGTTAAATCTTGCAGATTACTATAAAAGTGACTGGAATGTGAGCATTGCAAACAGACTTTGTATGAGAGTGTGCTGTCGCCCTGCCAACTTCACTAAAAATGCACTTTTTTTTCTCAAAACTTGCTGCAAATATGGCATGTTTTCATTCAGCATGTGTGGTTGGAGTGCAGTTAATATTTTACTGGTGGTTCTTCAGGGTGAGAAAAAGTTAGTACAGGTTCATACTGCAGTGATCCTTGTTGAATCCCCCACAGAGCAGTGGTATATATTGCATCCCTTCTGGCACACCAGTGATCAAATTGTCAGCTGTAGTCTATTATTTACAACAATGTTCCACTGTAACATTTTACTATATTAAGACAAAAATATGGCCATGGCAATCTCCTCCTATAATAAATTGTGACTAATTCTCCATAAAGTACATGATGCTTTTTCTCCCTTCAAACCCTTTTTTGCTTAATATTTGAGATTTACTTATCATTTTCAGAAGTTAGGGCTGTACACAGACTCTACACTGAAAACTTTACCAAAACTCAAAAATGCAGTGTCCATAGCTTATTTGAGAGTGTGTTGTTTTCTTCTTTTTTTGTGAGTATGATGATTTTCTCTTCCCCAGATACAACAGTTTTCCATACTTTGTTAATCTGCTTGTTCTTCTGAAGACTTATGTTTCTTCCTTCTTCCTTTTAATTCTTAAAACAACTATGTGGCTATGAACAGGAACATGGTGTTTCTAAATCATGTATGAAAGCAGTGAATGGTCAGGGTTAGCTTTTTGAACAGTAGTTCAGAGAAGCCAAAAAAACTCATGTGGAAAGGGTTTTTAAATATGGACTCAGAGAATGGTTTGGTTTGGAAGGGATCTTAAAGATGATCCAGTTCCAAGCCCCGTGCCATGGGGAGGGACACCTTCCACTAGACCAGGTTGCTCAAAGCCCTGTCCAACTGCCTTGAACACTGCCAGGGATGGGGCACCCTGTGCCAGGGTCTCACCACACTCGTAGTGAAGAATTTCTTCTGGCTATCTAATCTAAATCTACCTTCTTTCAGTTTAATGCCGTTCACCCTTGTCCTCTCACTACATGCCTGTGTAAAAAGCTTTCTTGTAGACCTCCTTCATGTAATGGAAGCTTTTTGAAGGTCTCCCTGGAGCCTTCTCTTGCCCAGGCTGGACAAGCCCAGCTCTCTGACTGTCCTCAAAGGAGAGGTGCTTCAGTCTCTGATCATCTTTGTGGCCTCCTCTGTGCTTGCCCTGACAGGTCCATATACTTCTTGTGTTGGGGGGCCCAGAGCTGGATGCAGTACTGCAAGTAGGGTCTCATGAAAGCAGAGTAGAGGGGGCAGGATCACCTCCCTCGAGCCTGCTGGCCAGACTTCTCCACACTTAATCATCATGTTCACTTGAATGCCTGGATTCTTATTGTCACAGGGAATTGTTTGATCATGTGTTTGACTTAAAATGGTTTGCAAGAGCAGGTGTCCAATGTATGTGCATATTTACTGACTGCATGAGCATCATCAAATCTCTGCAGCTTCAAATGCTCTTAAATCAGCTTTTGCGGCTTCCCCCTGGTTTCTGTACATACTTGTCTCAAATGCACCGTGACTATCAGATACAGTGGTGCAGAGATAAGCTTCACTGTGTCATTGCAGTCATGTTTTTACATCTCTTACATCATCTCTCAGTGGTATTTAGAAAAGAGAAACCGTAAGAGTTTCCTGCTTTTTTTCCTTCTTCCACTCTCTTGCCGTATCTCTCAGGAGTTACATTTGTGTGTGTCTGTGTGTCTGTGTGTCTGTGTGTGTGTGTGTGTGTGTGTGTGTGTGTGTGTGTGTGTGTGTTTGCTCCCTATCACTTCACTTTTAACCTATTTCTGCATCTTCAGAACTGACAGACTGGCTGGAATAATAGTTTCTCTTACCTTGCCACTGCTTTAGAGCTTAGCAGCCTGGTAGATAACTGCTGTGAATGTTTTTCTAGGTCAGGCAGCAAACTGTCCCTTTTTTTTCCAAGCTTTTGCATTAAATAGTACAAAAAGTACTTCAAATTGTTTAATAGACTGGAATTAGTGAGAGATGTCACGGAGCTGATTTATACCATTGGAGTCAGTGAGAATGGTATCTCACAGGATGACAATTACTGATGGGATACAATACGTCTTCAGCTCACCTGGGGCAGCCTAGGCAAACAGAAAATTGGGGTAGGAAGAGAGGAGTTAGCCATTCCTAAATAAAATCAAAGGGATTTTTTTTTAACTAATGAGAAACAGGTTTGATGAAGGAGGTTTATGACTCTGTTTTAAGCATAACTTCAAGATTTGAAATGGGACAATGCTGATTTGCAATTGAGCTGTGCAGAGTTAAATGTATAGGAACAAAGACTGTGCATCAGTTGGAGCTCATGGCCACCCTGCTCTTTGCTTTTTGGAAGATACAAAGTGCTTTTCTTGCACAAAGTCAAACATGCAGCTATGGGTAACCATACTTGTATAATGGGGATGAGGACTTGGTTTAGTTTGGTTCAAGAGAGATTTTCCAGAATTCCAATCATGAAGCAGTCTTTTCCTGGCCAATGCAGTAGTAAAAGTACTGAGTACAGTGCAATGTTTGTGCAAAATTCTGCACATAACACCTAATGTTTCCAGAAGGAATACAGTTAAATGTGCTAAATAAATTTTCCATTAGAAATGCATAGTTCTAATGTGTGAATTTTCCTCAGCAAATAAACAAACAGGAAAACTAAAAAAGATGTTGTTAGGTACCTACATTGAATTGTCTCTTAGTAGTTGTATTTTTAAACGTTGGGGTATACAGAATAGCTAGAATAATGCAAAGGAGTTGTATGTGAAATGATATTGCACAGTGGGACATTGTGGACTAGAAGGGCACAGTGTACATCTGAAGGCTCTCTGGGAGCTGGAAAATGGGTGGTTATTTTGACTACCTTGACCTTGTTCCTGAAATATTCTTAATAATCCTTAATGAGGGTCTGATTAACAAAATAAAGTTGCACGTCTATATTACCCTAAGTCCAATTGTAAATGTCAGTGTGTAAATTACAGTGCAGTCAAGTAGTGTGCACGCCAAGGGGTGGCTCCTTAGAGGAAAGGTGGCCATTTATTGCAGCAAGTAGCAAACTGTGCTTTGCATTAGTTCCGTGCTGTGCTATAATGTGGCATAGTTTCAGCAGCTGCAAATCCCTTGACTGCCTGTTTTCTGTTAAACTACTAAATAAATGTGCTGTGCCAGAATAAGACTTTGATTTTAAAAATGATTGCCACGTTGAGTTTAGCCACATCATTTGCAATGGTGTTATCCCATTTACAATGATGTTATCTATTATCTCCTTCTGTGGTCTTCCTGAGATGCAGTTACTCTCACGGTAATAGCTTCTTCACAAAAGTTCCTGTTCTTAAAGGTCTGTGAGTCTTGCTGGCTTGGTTTCATGGAAGGAAAAGGTGGTGCTGATCTGGCCCAGTTGTCAGAGGCACTTCAAGTGTTTTAAACACTCAGGGTGTTACACAGGTGGATGAAATGTTTGTATAAGTTGATTTTTTACTGTATATTTGTGAAATCTGATGGATAAAATATATTAATGCCTTAAAATAGGCCAGTAGTGACCATGTGCTTGGTATCGCCTTTCAGGTACAGTAGTAGTCCAGCAGCTAATGTCAGTGATGATCAGCAAACATGAAGAGCTGTTTCCCAAGGATGCAGACCCTCAAATGGGACCCGAGGTATGCAACAACAACAATGAATTGCCAAAGAAGACAATTGCAGGGCAGCTGCAGAACAAAGAAAACAACAACACCAAGGAGACAGCAGTGAGGCGCTGCTCTTGGGACAAACCTGAGTCACCCCAAAAGGGAAGCATGGACAATGAGTCCCCAACTGCTATGCCAGGCAGCAAGACAAGCAGTCCCAGGAACAGCATCCAGAAACCAGATGTCACCAGAAGCCCACCACTCATGGTGAAAAAAAATCCTGCTTTCAATAAAGGCAGTGGCATTGTCACCAATGGGTCCTTCAGCAGCTCTGTGGAAGGCCCTGAGAAGAGCCAGACCTTACCAAACTGTACCCTGCAAGCCAGGAGAACATCATCCCTGAAAGGACCAGTGACTAAGATGGGCACACACAGCGTGCAGAATGGGGGTGTGAGGATGGGTGTTTCCAGCACAGATGGGCACAACACCACCCTCAACAGTCGGACCCCGGGCTGGGTGCCCAATGGCTATGTCACACTGAGGGATAACAAGCAGAAGGAGTCTGTGAGTGAGTCAGGCCAGCACAACCGGCTTTCCACCTATGACAATGTCCACCAGCAGTTCTCTATGGTGAACTCTGAGGACAAACAGAGTGTGGACAGTGCCACCTGGTCAACGTCCTCTTGTGAAATATCCCTCCCTGAGCACTCCAACTCCTGTCGTTCATCCACCACCACCTGCCCTGAACAGGACTTTTATGCGGGTAACTTCGAAGACTCTGTGCTGGATGGACCACCACATGAAGACCTCTCAAACTCGGGTGACTATGAGAACAAAAGTGACAGGAGGAGTGTGGGGGGCCACAGCAGCCGAGCTACCAGCAGCAGCGATAACAGTGAAACATTTGTGGCCAACAGTACTAACAATCACAGTGCTTTGCACAGCCTGGTGTCCAGCTTGAAGCAAGAGATGGCCAAGCAAAAACTAGAGTATGAAACAAGGATAAAAAGGTAAGACAGCTTGGCTCTCCCATCTCGCTGCCATCTACAGAGCAAGCAGTTTTCCCTCTTGTGGCTCACTAGCAATCTGCACTAGCTGCAGTCACTAAGTGCTCACCACCCAGTTTCCCATCTTTCAGTGTTGACATATTCTGATATTGTGTTTGTGATATCATGATACAAAGGAGTTTGTTTCAAAGCAATTGATTGCCATGGTTGTGACATGCTATCCTATTGTTGTCAACAGTAAAGCCAGAACCATGTGGGTTTCTGTATAATATCCCAAAATCAGTAGGCTCTCACAGTGTTTTCATTAGTTTGATACCTGTTCTCCAGAACTGAGAACAGTAACTCAGTTCTGAGGTAACTGATACCAGGTACTCCAGAAGAGTAACTGGGCATCACCTATTGGTGAAAGCAGTGCATAACTTAATCCATCTGTAGTTTTGAGGACTGGAAAACTGCTGGAACCCTTTTCCAGTGTCCTCATTACTCTTGAGACACCACTGCATCTGGGAGTTACCTCTGCTCACTGTCCTATCTCTGTGCTGCTGCTTCACCATTCCTTCCCAGCTCGGACCTGTTAAAGAAGGCAAGGAAGAGCCACATCTTTGTCTACAGATAGTGTGGACTCTTCTCACATACAATGAGGTTACCAGGATGGATGGCTATAACAATCAGCAAATAACCTTAAAGTGTGGATTTAGTATTAAGTACTGTACATGGCAGTGCAGAGCTGAATGCACTATTTGCAATAAAGGTCCTTCCATAAAGCTGTTCAGGACTTGTCTCACCTGTGTTGCACTGCAGCTCTTTGCATTGGTACCTTTGGCACTGCAAGTCATAGCTGGATCGCAGTATGTGAGAGCTACTGGCAACAGTAGCTGTGAGTGAAAGTGCAGCATACGGAATATCGCAGTCTTTCACCCACATAGCTATTTTCAGTGCAGTATATAGTATAATAGAGCCTTTCTTTGCATGCTTACTATGCATGATGATTGTGTGTTTAGTACTACTAGGATTTCTAATGCTTTCCATTGGAAAGCTGGATCTGAAATACGATCATTATTTTTGTTGTCGATCCATGTTTGCAAATAGATGTAGAAGATAAATCAGATGAAGAAAGGAGATTAGCAGCGAAACAAGGCATTCAGGGCATTAGCCTGACTTTGTAAGTGACAGTAGCACAATTGCAGCAGGACCTGGGTGTGAACGCTTCCAGAAGAAAAAGGAATATTTAACCTGTTCTTGAAAAATTAGATGGCGTAGCTTGCTACTGTGCACCTTGCCAGTGGCTGTTACTAGGCATTTTCTAAATGAGCTACCAGAGAGATTGCCTTATGAGAATGGTTCATTGATGAAGCCATGGTTCATAGCTACACCTCTCAAAAATTCAGTCTAAGCTTTGTAAATGATAAAAATATGAATTTGTTGTTGGTGGGCATTTCTGCTTGAGTGAGTAAGGAGTGCTGCTCAGGAGCTGTCTGCTTTTATTTCCTTTTGCAGCTTGGAGCAGAGAAATCTCACCCTAGAGACGGAAATGATAGCCCTGCATGAAGAACTGGATCAAGAGCGGAAGAAGTTCACAATGGTAGAAATCAAAATGCGCAATGCAGAACGAGCCAAGGAAGATGCAGAGAAGAGAAATGATATGTTGCAGAAGGAAATGGAGCAGTTTTTCTCCACTTTTGGAGAACTGACAGTGGAGTCTCGCAGACCAGAAAGAGGCAACACCATCTGGATCCAGTGAGAACTGGAAGTGTTGACTGTGGGACTTTGGGGAAGGGCTTGGGGGTATTATACTGTATCAGGTGGCTGGTCACCTGTCTGAGGCTAGTACTCAACATAATGTTATAAACCCTTGAAGGAAGAGGTCATACAGACATTAACCACTCGTATCTACAGTGTGTACTTATCAAGTTATACTCTCTGAATGCTTCATGAGACTACTGTCAAGTGTTAAACTGGATATGTGTATGTAAATTCTAAAAAAATCACCTTAGAGAGCAAGAAATATTTTAATGCAAGTCTTGTATTTAAACTGGTAAATTGAAATGTTGTTGCAATCAAGCTTTATATCAAGGCTTTTCTCCCTTGCACTTAACATATAAGCTATTTTTGGCATTGTGTTACCATCCGCTTATTTTGTATATCAAATGTTTTTTGGTTTTGTTTTGTTTTTTTTTGTTACCCCTCTTGCTGGGGAGTGGAGATAAACAGATATGTTACAGTATATGTGCCAGTGGTTAACCCTGATTTGCGTCACTTCTAAAAAGACAGTAGGATGAGAAACAGCAGTACACTATGGTCAAAACAAAGCAGTATGAACTTAACACAATTGATGGCCAGGGTAGAAAGTACCAGGGCAGCCATATCATAAAAACTAAATGAAGATACCAAGTCAGCAAAATTGCAGACAGTGGTGAAAGGGTAAACAGCTGCTTGCTTGGGAGCAAATGTGGATGGCAGAGTAAGAAGCTGGGGGAGAGAGGAAAGGTGAACTTTAGGGGAAGTCAACCAGAGCTTTTTGGGCTACCCTAAAGAAGCCCTGTGCCTGATCACTGCAGCTCAGAGCAGGAATACAAACCAGTTTTTCTGACCATCTTTGCATCTGACTTACCTCCATACAGTGCTTGAAAGTGAGTCTTTTTTATAATGCTGCTGAAGGGGCACACAGGGGGGATGAACTGGGCGCATCGGGATGAGTGCTGAAAAAAATAACTAATTATGTCCAGAGTAGAAATTACTGGAGCAACTGTGCAACAAAGAGCAATCAAGGAAGAAAGCACACTAACACATTCACCACCCGTATTTACAGTGTATATTAGCAAGTTATCATACTGTCTCAAAGCCTCATGAGATTGCTGTCAAGTGATACAACTGTGAAAGTTTCCAGGCTGTCAGCATCACCAAGCAAAGACCTGGAGGGGATAGCATGGAGCCTAACAGCATGCAGAGTGCCACTGAAAAAGAAACAGCAAATCCGTGCTATAAATCAATAATTTGTTTGGCATCTTTTCATATAGTAAGTATAACTGGTATTTTTTATACTATATTATGGATGTTTTGGTTTACTTTTGTCTTTAGAACTGCAAGCTGTATTATTAGAGAGGGCTATTGAGATGTCTTTGCTTCCCTCTAGTGTCTCTTGCATATATTGCAATTATTTTTTAATACCAATTGAGAAAGAATAATGAATGTAGCATCAAAGAACATTCTTCATTATAGCATGTATATTAGACAAGTATTAATTAAATGTGGGAATTATACTGGGAAGTAAACATGAGGTTTGCATTTCAGAGAAATGTTAACTTACAATGCAGCATTACATATGGTGCTTATGGATGCGTTATTTGTGTTTGGTGAGACGGAGAGTCCCAGCCAGCGTGCTTATTGTACTGATTACTGTGGACATGTATAGTGCACATCCAGTCTGTGTGTAAATCAGAAAAAGTCAGACAGGGAGATCTCAAGGTAGTAGGAAAGGGCATGTTGCAAACCTCATGATGAAGTTCCACAAGGCCAAGAGCAAGGTCTCGCACCTGAGTCAGGGCAATCCCAAGCACAGATACTGGATGTGCAGAGAATGGATTGAGAGCAGCCCTGAGAAGCACTTGGGGGTGTTGGTTGATGAGAAACTTAACATGAGCTGGCTTCACCGTGTGCTCGCAGCCCAGAACCTTCCGACCAAAACCATTCTATGATTCTATGTTTTGTATCAGCAGCAAGCAAAAGATCTCCTCATAATGGTAAGAGAAACAGATTATTATATTAATTCTTGTTTTTAAATAGAATGAGCAAGACCTTGATATCGATGCAGTAGGCCTCAAAGTTGACTGACAATTTAAGCAGAATCTGACATCTGTTGACATGACAGCAAAGACTCTGAGATAAGTATTTTCTTAATTGGAATTATTTTTTCCTACACTAGATGTGTACAGTAGTCCCTGAGGTGGAGAAAGTTCTGCTTTCTCACAAGTAACACAGTTTTCTTATTTTTATTTCCTCTAGCAGTCCCTATGTCATTCAAGCTCTGTTGCTCTCTTAAAATGTAAAGGAGTACACAATTCCTAAGACTAGTTCAAGGACCTAACATTTAGTCACAGGGGCACGGCAAAATGCGGCCAGCAAAGCAGCAGGGAAATGTACAGCTGCAAGGTTATCCATTGATATGCTGGCAAAAATGACAGCTACTTCATAAAATTTTATTTCTGATAGTTGTTCAAAATTGACAAGGAGTAGGAATTTCATTTCACATCCACATGTGCCCCCAATGCCCTAGGCTATGAAATATGCATGGAAAAAGGGAAGGTATTTATAGTCCATATACTTAGCATTCTGTGTTCAATTTCAGTTATCCTTAGTCTTCACAGGAACTGACTTTTAGTGATTTGTTTGTGCTGCATGCTTTCCTAATTTGTTTGCACAGGCTTCTTTGTACATACCTGTTGCTAAACTCTTTGGTCAGTGATTGCTTTTTGAGGGTTAGCTCTTGGTCTATCCCCAGGTCTATGTACAGGCTACAAGAATGCAGTTTGGAGTGGCTTGTTGCTTATCTTCAATTCTTTGCATTCACCATACCTGAGATGGTTTATAAGACAAACCGTTTCAGTGAAAAATCTTCATTTTTGGTGTGTATAGTTCTTCCACATCTTTATATTGGTTTTTTTTTTGAGGATTGCCATCACTCTTGACTCAGACTGAATGATGCTACTGCAGTGATTTCTTCAGGCGTGATCCTTGAAAAAAAACATTCTTTTATTTCTGCAGGGGCTCTGAGAAGCTGGTTCTCCATGTGGATTTAATGTAGGGCTTAGGCTGGACTAGTCCTGGCTCCTTCTCATTGATGCCAGGCTAAAACCCCAGAATTTCTGTTTTGTTTATCAGAGGCATTTTGACCCCCTTTGAAATTAGGACTTAGTCTTGGAAAACAATATAAACCATCCACAGAACTACAGTTGTTAAAACTTGCTAGCATTTTTTAGTCTTCTGGATGCAGAAGAGAAATTCCTTAAATATCTTCTGGGAAAGTGGGAACAGAGACTCTGGGAGCAGAGCAGAATCTCAGGTTTCTGTCCATTTGGCCCAGCTCATTTTGGCTGATTCCTTGATGTATTTAAAGCTCTTCTTGGTGCTGTTGTCACCTTCCATGTGTCTATTCCTGTACCGTACTTCTCAGTGCTCTTGTCACTGAGCTTATCCCACTGTGGTCCATTTCTTGGAGATGAACCTGCCACAAAGCTGTTCTGTGGCTTAGCTTTCTTGGTGGATGAAGTCTTGGTACTGGCTCAATAAAATACCAGATAAGTTCTCTGTAGCTGTGCCATTTGGAGTCAGCTTAAACAGTCTGACTTCAAATGGTGTCTGACTCCAGCAGTATGGGATCATACTGTTGCTCTTCTGGAAGCTCTCGTAGGGCACGATTTGTCTGATTGTTTGAAGCTTCTCTTCACATTTGTAAAAGTATCCCAGTCAGTTCCTCAAAAAATGCTCAAATTCCATTTTTATGGCTAAGTGCTTATATGCCAAATGTCTTGCTTTGCAGTCCAGGAAAAGACTTCACCTTATTGCCTCTGCAGAAATCATCTAGATATACTGCAAAACTTGAACAGACACAGTGAACTTAGAAAATACTAACAGTATTTGTCCACTCTTACCACGATCCATCCAAAGTGCCCACTCCTCCTGTGAGGCTTCATCAGCATTTAGACTGTGGTGATAAAGTCTGTGTCCTTAATAGTCATCTTCAAGATCAAAATTCTTGGTATTACTTACATTCAGAAGTAAATAACAAAATGCTATTTCTTCTAACATCTGTAACTTCTCACCTGTATGATATCATTTCCATATGGTCCATGACTGATTTCATAGAATCATAGAATTTGCTGCATTGTTCCCTTTTGTATGTCCAGCCTATGTGTGAATTGACCTGGTTGGCAGAAACAATGTTGGGGTGGCATGCTGATGCATCTCAGTAGCCAAAGGATGAAACCGTGCTCCCTCTGATGCAGTAGAGTGGAAAGCAGCAAGACATAATTAAGGTCAAAGCAGAGAGCCTGAAGACTCTGAAAAAGTCTATGAGGATTTCATGTAGCATATCTCTTGATCATGGGTTATCTCATTAAGACAGTTTTTTCAGGGATCTTAACTGTTAAGGTATTGAATTAAACCAATGCTTTAGCTGAGACAACTGGGTTTATCACCAGCTGGTGTAACGGAATAAGTCATATTCTAAAGCCAACTGTTACCTTCTATGAGAGGACGCTAAGAGAGTTTCAAGTATCAATTAAAAAAAAGGTGTAATAATAAATTTGCTTTCACCTCTTTCTCACAGGTGTTTCTGTGAACTCCCAACGTTATTATCTGTTGTGGGAGTGCACATGCCAACTCCAAGGTGGGAGTGCACATGCCAACTGCAAGCTGAGAATGGCAGTTAACAGCTCATTGCTACCTCATTGCTAGCACATTGTCACTTTGCCTTGTGCACATCGTACAAGAGGCAATGCTTTACAACTTATCAATACAGATGGCAGAAAAACTCCTTATAGAGCTAACAGTGCTCTGGTCCAGTCACAGGGTCTGATTATATTACATTACGTTCAGAAATGTAATTTCAAGACAGCACACATTTTTAAAAGCAGGTTCCCGGCATGGTACATTTGGGGGAGAGACAGCAAGAGAGGGGAGGCATGATTACCACTGTTAATCACATCTCCAGCTACATCATCATGGCACTGTGGTAAATGATAGTGCCTTATGCGCATTTTCACGGTAGACTGGAATAGTGGCAGACATTCACTGTAACTTTTAAATGTTACAGTCTGATGTTTTGCTCAGAAAAACTTCTATCTTCCTTTCTGTTTGTGAGAATCCTGCTGTGCATTTGGAGTGTACTTCGGTGCAGCATAATTAAGCTTGCTACACTTCTATGCTGCATGTTTTTCTTTCTGCATCTCACAGAGCAAGTTTCCAAAATATAAAAATTAACAAATAAAATGTTATATTAAATGGTGTGGAAAACTGGTATCATAGGTTTTGATTTGTAGCATCTATCAAGAACTCACCAACAAAGTTTTAAGTTGACAAGCAGGTATTCCATGTTGTGGAGCCAGGAGACAGGGGGAACAGCTCCTCCAAGTGTCCCGCTCAAACATCAAACAAGCTGTGATTATATAACCATTAAATATACATATTCATTACAATACATGTATATTTGTGAAGTTACTTATGCAT